ATGTATAATTTTTATAGTTTTAAAATATTAATTTATTAATAATACTATTTCAAGTCAACTTGAGTCAAGTCAAGTTTAAGTTGAGTTTAAATCAAATCAAGTTAAATATTTAACTCGACTTGAATTTGATTTGACTCGCAAATTATCAAGTCAAAAAATATAAACTCAACTTAATTTAAACTCAACTCAGCTTATCTGACTCATGAGTTAACTTGACTCATCTGGAACTCTATTCAAACATACTAAGAGATTGTTTTTATTATTCTCATCAGTGAATTCTGCTATAGATAAAACTCAACGACCTATAATTCAAAGTACTTTGCTTATATCATCCTTATGTATATCTATGCATTCAAAATTTGACATATTTTCATGGCCTCTTTACTCATAAAATGCTCATTATGTATAATAAATACTCTGAATATATATATCTAGGTTGATATTTTGCTTGATCATTGTTATCATTAATATTTTCTGATTTTATCTCCTATTTGAATATAGGAAAAACCTTAAGTTTGACACAAGGAATTTGCACATATTTTCCAAAAACATGTCTCGAATACTGTATACAAGTCCTACTCTGATTAAAAAAATATTTATATTTATTACAAAATAAGCAACGCTGGCAAAAAATCCAACTTTTTTCAATTGAACATATCTTTTTAGTATTTGAAGATGAAGCTGATTTTGATCATAAAGAAAGTGAAAAATATATACACCTATTGTTAACAAATCATTTTTTTGTTTGAGCTTTTTAAAAAATCTCTGGATTGATCTTTTAAGCTCTAATTAGTTGAAAAAGTGGCCTCTGTCTTTTCAAATGGCTTGAATAGCATTGAATGGAATTATTATTAATATCCAAAATTGGACATTCTGATAAAGATTCACTAGCATTTGTTATATTTATACCAAAATATTTATTTCTATCAGTTGATTTCAATGTAATCAACTCTGAATCAAATATTGAAATTGTTAATATATTAATATCTATTTTAGTATCAGTATCGATATCATTGATATCTTTTAATAAAAATATATCATTATTTTCGTCCTCTTCTATAAGTGTTTTTGCTCTTTAAAATTTGCATCATTAAAAAGAAAAGGCATTTCTATATCATAATTTAATGCACTATTATCACTTCTAATACTTTTTACAACACTTTCTGACATAAGACTTTCAGCAAAGGCTATACTCTCCAAATCATTATAATCGTTAGAAATATAATAAAAATTATTAAAAATGTCTTGCAAGTTTATATTAGATATAGCAAAAGGGCAAATTTTATACGATGAGATAACTAATGCTAAGTAAATATTATCAATTAAAAAAAAAGAATTTTATAAAAAAATAGCAATGGTATAAAACTAAAAAATTTACTACTCTAAAGAATAAAATAATGCTAAAACTAAATTTTTAACTAACGAGTTATTATTGTCAGGAAAAAAAATTCAAGAAAAAAAAATGAAAGTGACTTTAATTTAACGTTGATTCTTTAATATTAAAAATTATAAGGTCTTTATATAACGATAAAATTGTTTAATATTTTTTTTTTATAGATGATATCTTATTAAAATATAAAATAGAGTACAAATATAGGTATATAAAATAAAAATATATATAAAGAAACCATCTATCTTAAATTAGTAATTCTATAACCACATCCTGTCTGATTGCTTTTCAATAGAAGAAGTAGTTATTATTTTGAGTAACAAATTTGTCGATCTTTAATTAATGCATTCTGTCATACTTTTTAATACATTTTTAAATATCATATTGCATGCAAAAATATTATAAGGCATAAAATCAATATCTCTTTAATATGTGAGTAGATTAAAAAAATGCATATCATAATGATAATGATAAGTTTAACGTTTTAAAGTTAGTAAAGTAATTAGTCTGAAGTATAATGAGGACTTATGCACAGTGATACAGAAATAACCTATTGTCTGTCTAGCATGTGATGATATTTCACACTTTAGACTTTGTAACAATTTTGTTTCCTAGTTTATGTAACTTAATGTTAATGATAATATCAATATCGATAACATTTTTAGCAATTCCTTTAAATTAAATTAAGAAGTTCTTAAAATTAGATTTATATGTAAATTTATCAGCGCTACAACTTTACTTATAAATAAAAGGTAGATTAGAAATGCTGATTTTGAGTTTTATATGAAGAAACTGCTAAAAATCTTAAAATTGAATATAAAAATTAATCGTAAACTTTATTCGTTAAGTGTGTAATTCTGAAATTCGATAATTATATGTAAATTTATCAGCGCTACAACTTTACTTAGAGATAAAATAAATGTAGATTAAAAATTCTGATTTTGAGTTTTATATAAAGAAAGTGTTAAAAATTATTGTATCACATGAATTTATTTTAAAATTTTCGATGGAAGATTCTTTAAAACTATTATTATTATATAATATTAATAAATAGACTCTTAAAAAGAAGAGGTCCTGGTTATACAGAAGGTGGTCAAAAGTTTTCAAACACCTTTATAAATGCGATTTAAAAAATTTTCGTTATATAATTGTGATACCATACTGCGGTCATATGACCGTCAATTATTTATTTACATAATCAAAATAAAAAAATTCGTGTTATTTTTGTTATTTTAATTTATATCACTTAATCTCTACCAAAT